GAGGGCTTCTCCTTGTCATCTCAAGTCCTCATCATCATTGCTCTCTGCATGCGCCGCCGCGCCGCTCCATGACAAATTGCGTGTTTGGTTTCTCTCTCAACTCAACTAATTAAAAGTGCTGTCTTTTGTGTCACCGAAAGACGGTTTTCTCATTTGAAATTTATTTTCTGAATCCTATTTTTTTAATACCTACATCTAAAAAAAATGCAAAATTTGCCGCCCCTTTTTGCCGCCATGGGCCGCGGCCCATGTCGCCATCCCCTTAATCCGGCCCTGGTTATGTTCCTCACTGAAACATCAGGTCAGTGACAGTATATTTGACAAAACTTCGTGGTTAATTCCTGTTGGTTACATCAAAATTATGGAAAAAATATGTGCTTTGCTCATGTTGCATTATTGATGGGACAAAGATTGTAGGAGCCACGGTATACCAGAAAACAGCGGACAATACATTTATTCGTAATTTCAAAGGCCTCATAAACTTAGGCGTGGGAAATTAATGGTCAGGAAGTTTAATAATTTAATAAAATAGGTACAACACGCCTCTGTTATTTGCGCACTTGCGCATCATTTCGTTACTTTTTCTTTTTATCACTTGATTTTCTTTAGTATTTTAAAATGTTGTCGAAAGGAGTAGATTTTTGCGTCAAAAATGAATGAAATGATGTGGTTTTTGGCAACGTCCGAAAGGAAAATCCGCGAGTCACAATACATGGCATAGCTCTAGCGTTTAGTCATGGCTTCGGGCTTCCTCGGAGGGCCTGAACGCGCAATGGAATAACAAGTTTACGTTTGGCCGCATGGACCGATAAAAAGTCGGATTGTCAACCGCATTTTGTGAAGGAAACAAAAAAGTTCTATTTGCGATGAGATATGGGCGATTGTTCCATTCTTTTCGACCTCTGGACTAGACCATCGATAAATTTTGATTTTTTATTGGTATAAAATCTGCCAGTCTCTTACGTCCCAAAGTGCTGTAAGATATCAGCAGAGCAGGCTGGCACGCACATTTTTTAATTTTAGGTATGCCTCGTTAGAGACCATTTACATTATAAACTCACACCAATCAGCACATAAAATTTTGTTTTGAAAAAATGCTCCATTCTCAAAGGGCTGTAATTTGCACTACTCATCTGGTGAGGAAAATGAAATGGTGGACCACAACCGTGATTTAGGTGATTGTAGAATTGAAATCGGAAGGAATTGGAGAGAATATCCTTCGCGAAAAAGTCTGTGGCAAGGAGGTAGAGAACATTGTCAGTGAAAAAGTAAGAAAAATTTATTATTTTCAAGATCGAATTTACTAGTTATTTTATAAAGAGAAATATACAAGTGTGAGCGAGTATATAAGGTATGTTCCTTCGTTTAAAATTAATCTGCCAATATAACGTATGGATGACTATCCAGGTATAGTTTTCAACGGCTTATTAAGCGTAAAAATCAGAAATCGAGGAATTAAAAGATTCAAAATCTGATTCAAATTTTTCTTCATGTTTGGCAGGAAGGAAACTTGCGGGTTTTTCCCATTTAGAGGAAATGTGAATTATTTACGCAAAAGAGGTGTAGTTGTATAGGTGCTACTTGCGATGGATTCCCCATATAGACGGAGCTCTTTCGAATTAATGCACCCAATATTCTCGTAATTTTTTTCTTCGCTAATTATTTGGATCACCTTAAGAAGGGATGGACTGAAATATATCTTCGGGGGAAAAAATTATTTACGGTTGTTATGAGTTGTATAAAACGCGCTTTTCCTCCAGTTTATGAAAATTAATTCAGAAAAAAAAAGTATTTAATTTTTTGGGGGAGGGGGTGTGAAGGCTAAACATAAGCGGCAGTTAAAATATAACTTTGAATGCGAAAATTGATTCTTGCGGGCGAGTAAAACACCAATCCTCTCTTTTCTGAGTTTAGAGGTATCCTGCTAAAATATCTTAGGAATATCTACGAATGCGACCCCCAAAGTAACGCCTGTAAAGTAAATAAAAAATCCCTGCATGAAGGCTGCTTGTATTGTGGATCACTGTAAGAAATGAAGGCGTTTTGACTCCCGTTGTCCTTGCAGAGCTACTTTTAGCCGGCAAGTAAAGGCTGCGTCGGGCGTCCTTGGTGTCCGCAATGTCCGCAGTTGCTTGGTCGCTTCATCTTAACTGTGCGAGCAACTATTTTAACTCCGCGGAAATCAGATTGCATACCCAACGAAATGAAGGAACTTTGAGTCTGGTAATTCGGGGATCAGAGGTGAAATCAAAGGTGGCGGTAGCCAATCACATCGGCTATGAATTGCGAGAAAGATGCTTTTCAAATGGAAAAGAGACGAAAATGTGAAATAATGATATCACTTTTTATTTTTAAATCGTGGCATCTCCATTGAATGGATGGTATCATTTTTTACGAATGAAAAATAGCAAGTTTTGATCTTCGTATACTAGATGGTTGACTCATCCAATATTTTATTAGCCGGTTTAGTGGTAATCGTTAACTTACCGACCCACATATGTTCCACCAATGTTTGTATGGAAATAGTTAAAACAAGCGGGAAAGTTCTAATACTGTCGTATTAGAAAAGCGCTCAGGTGTTGGTAAATGTATTTAGTGAAGAAAGGAAGTATAAACTCCGTCGACTTGGCTGGGAAATGGAAATAAAACATCAGCTGATAGCAAACAAAGGTTACCATGGAAACCGTAAACGCGTATTTTTGTTTCCCGAAAATGAGCTCACCGTCGAGCTCATCAGGCGCGTTTTTTTTGGCTTCATTTGAGTTCAACGATCAATTTCGCTAAGAATTACTCTACCGCTAAAAAATTTTCTTATAGACAAACGATCGAAACTACCTGCGCATTACGTTAAAAGCATAAAATACAGTTTTCACAGCTTTATTTATTTTAAAAATGGACCCCCCCCCAAAAAAAAAAAGCCCACACATCGATGAGCTGGTGCGCCATTTAAACGCATTAGCACTATTATACTATAGTACTCAGAGGCAAGTCGAAATCAAAAAGCGCTGCCTATCGGCTGAGCGCTTAATAGCTTTTGGATATATCTGCGACGAACTATTTTTGCTAGATCAACTTGATTCATATTTAAATAATCCTTTTCGTAAAATTTGTATTACTTCAAAATAATCATGTTTCAATAGATGTACATAATTGGTATTTTTTTGCTCAGCGCGCTGCGTATCAGCTCAATCATGACTTCATTTCAGGTTGGCGACATCAAAAATGACCCGAACTTTTACTTTTTTAAATTTTATTTTGCGGTGGTAGAAAATATTCTATAGAGGTAGCCTATCTACTACCGGAAGAAGTTTTGATCGTACCGAAACAGAAAGTGCCCTTTGGTGGTTGAAAATATTAAAAAACGGGGCTCGATCCTTGAAATGCCTCCTTTCCCTTCCGGAAAAATCCGTAATTTTAGGTTTAGGCGTTCAAAATATCTCCATCAGATTTCTCAGATTGAAACTTGCGATTTTAGTCAGGTCCTATTTTTCAAAATTGTCTGGCCATTTTCTGAAAATTATAATTACCTACCTTACGAATAATTGGATGGATTAAACGGAATCAGCGTAACTGCATTTCACGTTGCCTAATTGTTTCTATATTTGATGTTTTCAACAGAGAACTAAATTATTGACGCATTTAAAGTTTTGTGTATTTCCCCTGGATTATGAATAATATACTTAAAAAATTTCAAGTTTCAGTGAAGTTCGTTACTTTTCTATTTTCGGAAAATAATTGTTTTTTCAGGATGGGATTCTTTTCAAAACAAGTTGGAATTATTCAGTAGGAAATAATAAAGAGCAGTTCCTTTCAATTCAAATACAAGCTTTTCTCAAAATGTTCAAAGTATGGAATGATCATGTTTATGAATGATAACTTAATTTAAGTAATTAAATATTTGGGGCCGAATAATCCTAGGGCTAATATAAGTGATCAACATAAACATAAGGTCATCTCAGAGATATAGTTCAACGCTAATTTTCGCATTCTGAGAGTTTTCAACTTAAAATATTCACTGGAAAAAGTATCTTGGATCTAGAGTCCAGAATCTCAATGCCTTTAATTAACAGGAGAAAATAGTGTTGATTCATTCGAATTTTTGCTTGAAATGAGAGCCATGACTCTTAATTTAAGCGGATTTCTTTTAGATTCAAGCAAAAATCCGATAGAATCAAGAGTATTTTTTCTTGTCAAATTTTTGAAGAGTCCGGACTCTGGATCCAAGAGACTTGGAGACCAAGAGTTCGATGTGTAGCCAGTCAATCTTAAAACTACCTACCTCTAGATTACCTCTTCCTCCAAAATGTGATTTAATTGTTTCTATTGGAGTTTGTCTATTTATGAGAAAAATGTTCCTTAATGAAGCTTGATCGTATTTTAAAGGAAGCGAAAACTGCAAAGATAGTTCTTTAAAAGTTTTATAAGTAGAAAATAAAAAAGTCAAGGACTTAAATTTTCATGAATTTATTTATTACATTATTTTATATTTTATGGCATTTTATAAACGTTTACAGTAAAAATACAAATGGCTTTGACACAAATATAAAAATAAAAATAATAGGCACTCTCAGATTATTCGTAGTACAAAAAGAGGAAAATACTGACCCAAAACTGACTGAAATAAGATTTAATGACAGCATTTACCAGTTTTATAGTTCGCTGAAAAAAACCGCACAAGATGTTATTGGTTGACGTAATTCCGGATATGAAACTCTTGAAACAACACACTGATCCTCACTCAAGTTCCTAAATAAGTTACAGACTCCAAATCCCCCGATAAAAGGTTTCGAAGTTTCATAGCCTCTTCAGTAACATAACATAACATACATAACATAACATACATTCTTTTTTCTCATTATTATTTTTACCCCTCATGTTTGCGCTGTGTCAACGAGAATATAACAGCATTTTTCAACATTTTTGGAATAACTGGTACTGTTGACATTTTTCTTATTATGAAGAAACGATCCTATTTCCCTCTGTAAAATTGTTTTTTCTTCTTTTTCTTTCTTTCTTTTTTTCTGCTGAAATGCTTCTACTTTATTTTCCACACGAAGAGTATAGTGAGTTTTCTGAAGGAATAATTTAATACTGAGATTTAGTTTAGTAATTTTTGGTACAAAAATACAAAAAAAAAAAAAACACACATAGAATGAGAAACAATAAAACTTTTACTAAACCTATCGATGGACGTTTTGCTAGTCAAAACTAGCGATTCCTATTGGTGATTACTAGTATCTTAAAAGTCTAGTGGGGGAAATTCATAGAACTGTTCCAAGTCCTAAGGAACACAATGAGAGTAAAAAATAAAAATTGCTACCAGTAATCATCCTCTACTCGAAAAAAATTAGAGGATAGTCACAGGTGATGTTAATTTTTTTCCCCGCCTGGAATTGTCAACTTCGGAAAATTGCCGATGAAGTTTTCCTCTGACGATAAACAGGTCAGGTACCATAGTCGGATAGCTGTGACTTTGACTCATAAATGCTAACATCAAACGGCGTGCATTTCATCTCGGAATTTTGACAGGCTACACAGGGTAACTATCCCCCCTCTTACTCAGTTTTACCTTCTATATGTTGAAATACCTGTACGGACGAAAACCGGAGCAGATTATATACCGGGCAATGAGGAACTTTACATTTCTGAGACATTCGTTGTTGGTAGTAAAATACTGCACCATCCACAATGTTTGAATTTGATGTTAGATTTCAAGGCAGAACTATTCTACCTTTTTACCGGTTCCAGGAAAAGGAAATGACTCATTTTTTCAATTATGTTTAAAAGAATATTTTTGTCTGCGATAATAACCCTAGAAAGAAATCAGAAAGCAAATAGTGGCGTTCCTCTTGTTACATCTAAAGAGACATTAAAGTTGTAAAGAGATTTTTCTTTCGTTTTGAAGGAACTATAAAAATAAACTTATGAAGTAAGTACATAGCTGAAATGTTTTGGTTCTATACACTGTATGAATATAAAAAAATATTGTTGCAAATATCTTATTATTATTTGGATTCACATTTATGGAAGACGTTAGAAAGTGAGGAAGTTAACAATACAGTTCGAACAGAATTTAATAATAAGGCACGTATCCTAAAAATAAAACTCTTGGAAAAATTATCATATTTTGCTTATTTTTGGCTCAGAAACGCCCTTTACCAATCTGGAAAGGCGTCAAGGTGAAAATTGATATAAAGTCTGATTATGGACATAAAATTATCTAATCTCTATTATAGAGTCTTGGTGTTATGCCTACTGGCCAAAAAAGTCCAATATGTTCCCTCTCTGTGGCTAATTTATGAATCTTTCCCTGATAAAGATTTTGCGTCACGTCCGTCGTCCATGTGAAAATAAAGGAAGGGGAGGGGCTTCTTGTGTGTGTTCAGACCCTTATATTTTGAGTGCATATGACGTAGACATGAAGTGTTTTAAGTCCCCCGAATACTGATTCCTCAAGAAGAAGTCTATTATTGTTTAATGACTTCTACTTAAGATAATCGATTCAAAGGCCCACTTGATAAATATGTCAAGCGGCATTTTTGGGAAAATTGAAGTGTGAAAAATGTTTCGTAAAGTTAAAAGAATAGTGCTTTTTTGAAAGGAGAAGAGTGCGAATAATTTTTTTTTTTCAGTCCATTAAACTCTATGTAGCTTTTCAACTTTCAACTTTTTTTATAGAAACCAAAAACGCCACTTAATGTGGTTTTTACTGGATCTTTCAATATAAATGAATTTTTCAAATCTAAAACCAAATATTGATTCTTATGAGATAAAATCTCTTTTGATGAAAACTTTTATCAACGAAGGAAAAGGTTACTCAGGTGGGCCATTTTAAATGTATTAAATGTTTCTTTTTTCATGAAAACCAGCACCTTTAATTGGAAGGCTCTCAATGACCGAGTATTCATTTTGCGTCATTATTGCTTTTTTAGATTCGTTAATTATTCAGACCTCCTCTTGAATTATGACAGATTTACATTAAAGTTGGTAATATATACGTACACAAATATACAATTTTTTGAATTTACAGATTTTGTATTACTATGTTAGGTTTTAAAATGAGAAACATGGATAAAATAAAGAAATCTGAAACTCAACAATCAATCTGAGAATAAGTACAATACTCTTCAGCTATGCTGAAAATAAATATTTAAAATTAAATATTATACACGTATGTAACAAAAATTTGTAGATTCTCTGGCTCAAAAGATCTCAATGAGACGCAATTTTTCCTGGTCAAGAGTAAATAAACTGGACACATGTATACAGCTTCAAATATCAATAAACTTCAACCATCGAATCCAGAAACATAAGGGATCAATATTTACATTTATATTACAACCTCCGAAATATCGTTATGCTTGCATAGGTCGATGTCGTAAGTCGGAAAAAAGAGCCGCAAGTAGTTTCAAAACTTTTTACTGAACAGTACATGGGCATTTTGGAATACAATCAACCTACAAAATTACCGACAGTTATTTGAGGACATTTTTAATACGAAATAAATCAACAGAGTTTCATTGAGTGATGTTGATCGATTTTCTCGATTGATGCGAATTACGCGGAGAGAAGATGTTTCAATTTTGATACGTTTTTCTCCACTTAAGACATCGGTAGGAAAAAATATAAGCAATGCTGTATACAGAGACTTGGAGCAGCAACATTTTCAGGCTCATTCAAGCATTACATAATATATACCTGCCCTTTCATATTTTTTTCACTCTCGTCAGTTGGGACACGTCCGTAGCAGAGTCCATCGTCCCAGCGTTAATTCTACATAAAACTGTTTTTAATGAGTTGAAATAATCTTATATATGAGCTAAAGAGAAGGATGTGAATTTACTGCAAAGGTGAAGGTACTGTGCTCGGTTTAATAGAACCGGAATGAATTTTAAAGACGGAGAAAAGTTCAGCATAAAAGGCCAATTCCAATAAGAGGAACTTATTCATTCTCTTTCAATTCAAGGGGGTTGAATGTATGACTTTCATATTTCCCTTTTCTTGATTTATCTTAATCATAAAATATTATGAAATGCTTGAAAGAGCTCTATCGAAACAGTAATAAAAGTAATTTTGCACAGAAGTAGAGCGTTTTAGCAATAAACAGGCACTTTTTAAATTTTATGAAATACAACAAAACTTCAACTAAAAGTTATTTTAATAATCATCCTGATTAATTTTAGGAGATCAACAATAAAAACAACAATAATATTGACACTATTTAATGGCACGGTATGTCTCACGGGTTTCAAAACATGTTTCAATGTTTTGTTTGATTCTCACTGGTTATTTAAAAGGTCAAAGTAGCGCATCGAGGCGTATTTAAAACAAAATAAAACTTTGATTCAAGAAACAGCAAGTGATGGCACTCTGGAAAAAGAAAACTTTTACCTAAAAACTTTAGCCCATTAAATGAATAAGGGCATGTATACATAAAAAATAAAGAAAACAATGCATCGATCATAGATCAAAAACAAAGCAACGACTTACATTAATTCTAAACTTAAATTTTGATTTTTAATTAATATGTTGTTACAATTCAAGACTGGACTTTTTCATTTATATTGACGGTACAAAGATGGAAAAATAACGTGAGAGGTTACCAGATTCCTAATCATACTGAATCCCCAAGAAATCTAGCAGCTAGTACTAGATTTCTAGTTGTACCCATCACGCTGCTACTAACCGTAAACGGATCCAGGATTAACGGTGCCAGAAATCTAGTACTTATTGTCTACAAGATTTCACGAGGATTTTTTTACAATGAGAACTCTACTGTCACTTTTCAGCAAATTGCTTTGCTCGAAATGATCACTCTTAAAATTCACCTATTATCATCTTCTGGATAACAATTTGCAGTACCCATTTTGTTAGCTTCCAATTAATTGAGATCACGTTGCTCTATTTAATTTTAATATTATTCAATCAGCCTATTTTGTCTGTCAAAACAATTTGCCTACAGTTTCCTTCAGATACGATTGATCAAAATATGCAAACTCAAAAGTTTCTGACATTAATTTACTTTCCCTCTTTTTAATTTTCCAGGGGTTAGCAGCTTGTGCGGCGTTGTGAAGGAAAATGATGGCTGCGAGGGTCCCTCTTTTCTCAAATGTAAATAATATCTTTTAATTAATGATTATGCTCTGCAGCTTCGGGTTACCTTTCAACAATTGGTGTCTTCGTAATGATGTTTTTACACATATAATATATTGATACAAACAAATCATTTTGTACTAATTTAGTTTTCTTGTATAGTACATGTATCTCATTTACCAAATCTTTCTGTAGGACATGAATTTATGTAAAATTTCACTGCTATTTCACGCTCTTACGAAGCAAATATCACCTTCCATTTGTAACGCTTAGCTCTTCAAGCGCTGTATAAATTCCGGAATGAGATATACACCGAATTTCACTCCGATATTTTTAAGGGTGTACCTTGGAAAAGTCATCCATCTGTATCTGCTAAAAAAAATTATTTCGAAGAATAGTGCTTTTGTAAATGTTTGTATAGCGTTTCTCGTCTTAGAATTGAGTTACATTGAAATTATAAAAACGGGGTTTCTCCCAGATAATTTGTTGATTAGAACCAGGTAGAATGAGGAGAAATATTCAAGCCGTGGATCACTTGGGCTGTTTGGGTAGGTGCCTCTTCATGTGGAGCGCAAGATGATCAGAGCGGGCAAAAGAGCGCTCGCAAATGGCGCACTTGAACGGTTTCGCCCCTGTGTGCTTCCTGTAGTGACGAGTTAATTCATCTGATCTGGCAAATCGCCACTCGCACTCTGGCCACTGGCATCGATAAGGTTTTTCTCCTGAAACAAACAATCAAAGCAAAGCTCCATTACTCTCCTGGCTCTCTTGGTATCATAAAACATTTGCCGATAAGCTACAATTCAACAACGGCGCCGCACAATGTCCTCAACAGCATTTGTGTGTGATAGGAGGAACGTCATAAAGTTCCACGGATCGATATGCAAATCTTTGTGCCGCACGGGTCCGACCTCCGTTTCAGCCTTTCGAAAATTTCAATCATTATCTGGTCTGCTTTGAAAGTTCTAATAGATCGAGCAAAATTGAACTTTCCGCTCATTATGCGAACAAAATGAAGAAAGAAGCGGTTGTGAGTCCTATCCAACTCTAACGCTGGAATTTCATCGGGGAACAAATCGGAATTGTACTGCATTTTGCAATCAAGCTTACCTCTGGCTCATTTTGAAAACAATGTATGTTCCATTACAAGGCCGGATTCACCTACTTGCCGCCCATGGGCTGCCTGTGTTTTGCGCCCCTTCTCATTCGTTTTGAAACATCAATAAAAACCATCAAGTGAACGTGACTGAGGGGGAGGGGTGCATAAAACGCGTTTACTTGTGTTGGACACACTTTTGGCGAAAGCCCTGTCATCACTACTGGCAAAAGTTCACGGAACTTTGTGCAAAAGTTAGGTTTATTAGAAATGAACGAAAAAATTATGAAAGAACAAACATAAATATGGTTTAATAATTTAATAACTTCCGCCGCACTGCGCTGACCGAACTGTGTTTTTGCGCAATGCGTGAAGTATTCCTACAGTCTTGCAGGCGCAGGTGCTATGCGTTTCTCGCCGACCGCTGCTGAACGCACTGTGTTTGACGCAATGCGTGAAGTATTCATGCAGTCTTGTAGGCGCTTTGCGTTTCGCGTCAACCGCTGCTGGCCGCAATGCGTTTGACGTAATGCAGGAAGTATTCATGCAGTCTTGTAGGCGCTAATATGTGTTTCATGCCAACCGCCGCGCCTAGGGCTTCTCCTTTTCATCTCAAGTTCTTGTCATCATTGCTCTCTGCATCGCGCCATTTCAGGCCAAATTGCGTGTTTGATTGCTCTCCTAACTCGACTAATTAAAAGTGCTGTCTTTTGTGTCACCGAAAGACGGTTTTCTCATTTGAAATTTATTTTCTGAATCCAATTTTTTTAATACCTACATCTAAAAGAAATGCAAAATTTGCCGTCATGGGCCGCGGCCCATGTGGCCACCCCCTAAATCCGGCCCTGTTCCATTAATATCCCTTTTCAGATAAGTGATTTTACAGATAAGCCACTCGAGAAGAATTTTCCGGTTAATAATTCTTGGACGAGAGAGCTGGTTGAGTCAACCGGAAATCTCTTTAAAATTACATGGCGTCTCTTCGAAATAACAAAAATGTAGTTTGAAACAGTGAGTTTTCCTGTTGGCTCAACTAGAATTCTCGTGCCGGAATCATTAATTGGAATTTCTTTTGATGCAACCAGAGGATTATTCTCCGTGCAGTATCCCACTACTTAATGGGTGGTACGTTACCACCAAAAGAAATAAATTGGCAAAATATTCAATTTACATCTAACGAGTTCTTCATACGGCAACAACGTCTCTCGTTATAACCGTTATCGAACCATAAATCAACAGGGGTCCTGCGCAGCGACCGACTGAGATAGTCTGGAGCTTCAAGTAAGGAGCAAGGATATAGATATAGACACAGCGACCTGACAGCTTCATTGCACGCCGACAAGTGCTACTCCGTTGTCAAACACCCTTAATAATTAGCCCTGATTCAAAGTAATTTTAAACGAGCCCCCTGGATGCTTCTTTGCAATCTGGCAACAGGGATATGCTGGGGCGAGCGACAAGCGACAGATATATTTGCTCCGATATCTGAAAACAAGCGGATGGCGATACATGTGCAAAACTGCACAACTATCAGCTTACCTCTAATTTTCTCACTCCATTTGTGCTATTAAAAAAAGGGAAAGAATCTGAACTCCTAGCTTTGCTCGCGTCTTTTGCGGTTCAATAGCTGGACGCATGTAACACACAGAGTTGCCGCGTTGATATGCAGAAAATCACGCATTCAACGTTCAGTATTCCCCGTGTGTTTTGTAATCCAAGTGTAGTTATGAATTTATGCTCCCAAGATTTTCGGAAACGCTTGTCGATGGTTATGGTTTCTCCTAGAAGAGATGTTTGATCATCGGCATACTCATCAGCTCATCGATCCTCTGGGACCGATTACCCGATGGGTATAGTGATGAGTACTTGAAGAAATCCTGCGACTCGAACGCTTATTTAGCAGAAAATCTTGCGAGTGGTTGCATCTCATCGATCTCTCGATTTGATAGCGCTTCTGATGGTTCGGTGCTTCGAGTTGAGAAAATCCTCTTCTTCTTATTTTCCTACGAACGACAAAGGCATAGCCCTGTTTGTCAAGCTATCTATTACTAAGCATATTAAATCATAAAAAAATATAAAATTAAAGTATTGGTACTTAAATATAAAGGATTCGTCAAATCATTAAAATACAGCGATGAAACATTCGATCACCCTCAGGAAAAGAGAGCCAGCTTTGTTCCCTTCTTTAAGAAGGTCGTCCCGGTAATCTATTTTCCGAGGGTATTGTCTGGTCATTGGTCATACAATCTTTCGCTGGTTTCTCTTCATCCATTCGGTCAACGTGCTTCGTTATGCAGGGTTATTCAAAAGTCACGCACCACTGGCCATAACTTTAGTTCTAATTAAGATATCGATTTGCGGTTTGTGACGTTTTTCCTCATATTAAGAGGAAACCTTTTTTTAGGCACTTTCCAGTTTTTTATCCCCTAGGGGGGGGGGCGGGGGGGAGTACTCACAAATTTCAAATGACCACCCCCCTCATGGCCAGTGGTGCGTGACTTTTGAATAACCCTGTATCTTGTATCCTTATCGACGTCGATTTACCGCGATACTATGGGATACAAGATCGTGAGAAATTCAGATAAAATTTTGATTTTATCGAATGCGATTTCATAGGGATAAATTTGCGACAACTCGAAAATAATCGCACAGATGTTGATGATCCTAGCGATTTTACTGCCGTAAAATCGTGAAAAAATCGCAACTTAATGTAAAAATGCAGCAAATTTTTCGCTGAAAAATGCTACCTGGCTCACGAGCTTTGCTTTGTAGTCTGAAATCGAGCCACGGTTTTGAAAGCGCGAATGAAACGGCAACATTGGCAATACATTTGCACGAGCGGATTCATCTCAATTTTATCTTGTTACGCTCCTGAGAACAGGTAACGATTTCAGAGAGGAAAATATCAATAAATATGACCTGTCATACACATCCTCTTGCGATGAAATGCTGAATGCGGCTCCTGATACTCGACTTGTGCACTAGTTCTACCCAGAATTCCACTTTTAACCAATCAAAATATCTCGGTTTGGAAAATCGAACAGCCATACGCGAAGAGCAATGAAAGTCTCGCTTGTCAGGATAGCACGGCTTACTTAATCGCGATCATACCTATACTACAAATATTTGGTCATGCCACCCGCCGCGCCGCGGGAACTTAGATATGAGATGTACCATTGGGAAAATGAGTTAGGACAAGCTATAACAGCTGTAAGCTAGAATCTTATTAAAGCACTGTTTCGAGTGGAAGCATGCAGTTTAAAATTCAACTGAATAATTTTCGGGATAAACAGAGTCTATCTAAAAGTTGTAAATATTTCGGGCACATCATTGAAGCTAAGTCAGGAGGCACACAAATCCATCAAAATAGGTCTCAATTCGCATTAGCGATCTGTTATCTTCTCGCAGAAATAATTTGAAACTGAGTTGTCAGAGGGAAACGAATCCAAATGAAAGGGTGTGAAGATACCCCTACCGGGGGTTTTCAATGTTTTGCCTTCAATTTGCGAGGTAGGCTAGAAAACATCATAATCGGTGGAGCAATAGTTCTCTATTCGATGACTGGTGTTGTCTACAAATCTTGTCTTGTAGTAAATTATGCTCACTAACAACCCCGGGATGCTCGTGTTTTATATTCAAGTCTCCATGACCTATACTGCCATGCTAAGGAAAAACGCCGTATGAACCTCCAGGCGTTGCTAAATTTCCTTTCATAAAACGCGAATTTCCTGGTAAATGTATGAATATTTTCCTTCCAATTTTTCAGATAATTTGGTTCACAATTTTACCTACAGATTCCGAAAAGTTAGAGAAAAAATATTCATAACTTTCCTCAATTTATCGAAGGAAATTTGGCAACTCGCGAATGTTCTTACGGCCTTCTTCCTTTAGCACGGCAGTGCAGTACGAGAACCATTAAAAAATGACAACCCAGTCCAAATTGTGTTGAAGAAGCATGTATACGTGTAGACTGTAGAAATGCCACCGACAATGGGACACTGTGGGCAAGTTGGTCGTGGATTTGACGTGGGTACTCGGTGTAAGCTGAGCATACACTGATCTAAGTTCAATAACTGTTTAAAATGTTTTGCCACGCGCTGTAACGAAGCGACAAAATGTCCAAGCACGTGATCCGTGAATGCTCCGAACAGTATGTGCATTAATCGGTACATGAATGAGGCGGAAGGGGCGGTAAGAGTTGCCATTTCCGCGGTCCCTTGTCGTGTACTTTTGTCAACGTTACATGCAGCTGCCGAATAGTGCCGAATATCAGCACTTTAATTCGTATGGAGAAGTGTGAAATATAAAATGTGCATCATACATTCTGGCAACTTTTGACGTTTTGCCGCTCGCCCCCACTCTGCGGGCGTCGCGCTCGCAACCGCCATGAATTCGAAACACGGCTAAAACAATGCGCAATGCCTCAAGAGTGTGCGCGTCGGCAAAGTGACAGGAAAACCCCTTGTCTTTGTCGAGACATCCCATGTTTTTTTCGCACGAATTGGCACCTGTACCCGACCGTAATTGTTTTCTCCGATAAAGCGACAATAAACAGTTGATTTTTCTCTTTTTTTCGTGTGGTCCCGTTTTCCTCTTTTTTCGCCGCGACGTGGAACATGAAATGGG